TCTCATCATTGTTACATCGCACCCTGACTGGCTCATCTCCTCCCCGAGAACCCTCTGCAAGGGGATTTCCAGTGGCCTACTAATGGGCTTTGGATCTCCACTCCGCACTCCCCCCATCATTCACTATGGTAAGATTTTTTGTTCTGATGATGCCTTAAAAATAGGCCCAGAAAGAACCCAGCCCAAGACCATTAAACTAGTTATTGTAGCACCAGGAAGCAAGCCCAGGATTCTTGTGACTTTATCCCGTTCCGCAATGTCAATGGAGAAAATACTCAGCACTGAAATCATTACCGGTCACCACCGGCCCAGGTGCCATTGAACTTAGAGTCTATAACTTGAGAGCAGACTGAGGTGCCAAAGCGCAGAGAACCTCAAAGACAACCCAGTCTCACACACCTTAACGGTATATAGAGGAAACCAAGGCTCAAGGAAGGTGGTTGACTTAGCCAAGGCTCTAAAACAAGACAGAGATTGAGCGTGGTCGGACCCAGGACTCTTGCCTCTAATTCCGTGGGTGTCCTGGATTCCCTATCTGTCCTGGATGGGAACATCATCCAATGCCTTTCACATCTTGCTGTCACCCTCAAGCCCCTGACTCTGCTTCATGGTCCGTGGAAGAATTACCTTAAATAGTCAGCAGGCCGCACGTACTTTGTCTCTCCCTAGGTCTGCGGGGCCTGATGATCGCCGTGATCATGGCCGCCCTCATGAGTTCACTCACCTCCATCTTCAACAGCAGCAGCACCCTGTTTGCCATTGATATTTGGCAGCGCTTCCGAACGAAGGCCACAGAGCAGGAGCTGATGGTGGTCGGCAGGTGCGCTGGCCCCTGCTTCCTGTAGGCAGAGCCTCCCTCTCCCCTCGATCTCATCTTCTGCCTGTCCTGGGTTTCCCTGGAGAGCAAGTGATCGGTCTGGTCCCTGGACTGCCTGTCAGGGCCCATATCCATGGGACCTGAGGTAAGTCCCAAATTCTGAAACAGATTTAACTTCCCGGAAAATGAGAGAGACAAAACTCTTTCCTGCCTGTATAGCTTCCTGTTGGAGTGGTCGGCACGAAAGAGAAAGCATTTCAGAAACAAAAGGTGTATCGTACCAGGGGGCAGAAGGTTAGCAAGCAGCTCTTTCCCAAGGTCTTTTGCAGCAATTCAAGCTGCTGTCTCACAATAACAGACGTACAATGAATGTTGTCCATCAGACTTACCTGGGGCACTTTTCAGCATCATCTTCTTGTGCTGGAGACAAGTCGTGTGGTCCTGTCCTCAGGATGCCCAAATCCTAATGAGAAAGGCAAAAACACATGTGGTACAGGGGAGCATCAACATGTTCATGGGAGGGGGGGGGTGGACAATCATTCATTCTAATTCCATGAATGTTTTGAAGCCCTTTGTACAGGAAGGTAGCTGCATGGATGGGGATGCGCCATCGGAAGATTGTCATCAACTTTTTTATTGTGGCGATCTGTTCCATGCTTTCAGAGACAACTCGGTGGTTAATTCTTTTTCTCTATGGATTAAGGGGTTTGTAACGAACATAAGGTGAAAGAGCCTTTTGGTTTGGTGAACTGCTATCCTCCTCCTCTCCCTCCCCCATACATGGTAGGTTGTTGAGCTTGAATATCTTGTTCTTGATATGGCTTTGTACTGAAGGTTCTCTACAGAAGATGCCTTCTACTCAGAGCTGCTCGATGAATCCATTCTGCCTCCTCCTCCGTATGTCCCAGGCCCCATGCAGAGAGTGACCATGGGAGCCATTGAAGCTGACTAGGGGAACACTTGTTCCTGGGGGGCGGGGAGAAGAGCAGCAAGCAGTGAGAGCACTAGTAGCTGCTGCTCTTCTTCAGGGAGACTAGCACTGGGCAGACAGAGGAGGAGAAGAGGTGCTCACAAGCATGAGGAGTGTCCTTTGATTTCTGGGCACACCAACTGCTGAGGTTTGCAGACACTTTTTACCCACTGGGAGAAAGATGGGACTTTCTACTCCCGTAAAGAGCTGCAATCTCGGAAACCCATAGGGGCAGTTCTATCCTGTCCTATAGAGCCAATACTAACTCAGTGGTAGTGAGTTTCACCCATTCCTGGGGCTTGGGTGCCATCTATTGCCCACATGTATGATTGCACCAATCATACAGCCAAAGAGTTTTTCATCTTTTTCACACACCTATAAAACCACACAGAAGGCTTTGAAAAGGAGACAAGAACCAGAAACAGTTGATGATGAGCCAGGCCAGCAAGTTGGATTTCCTGCCTTGAGTCCAATGTCAGTGTAAGGATAAGGGTGTAGAGCTGGAGGAACCCAAGGAGAAAGAAGTCCCTGGAAGCCAGAGCCATCCAACGCTGAGGCTATCCTGAACAGGGTTTGCACACACACAAGGAAAGGCATTTTCAAGAAAAGACCCGAACGGCATTTACTAAGGGATGGGGGACGGTGCACATATGGTGGTATGGTGGGTTATGCGTTTAAATCTACTAGCCACTCCAGGGAAAAGGATGAGGCTTTCTGCTCCCATAAAGATGTATAACTTCGGAAACCCAAAGCAGCAGAAATTGATTCAATGGCAGTGGGTTTGTTTGGTTACTTGGTTGGTTGGTTGGTTGGTTGGTTGGTTGGTTGGTTGTGGAAAGTATAGATTCCTCTAATGAATAGAAGGTAGATTACACGACCTAGAAGGCTTCAAATTAAAGGAAAAAATGTTGAGCTATTAGAATTCAAAGGTTATTGGACTCTGGTATTCTGGGATTTTGACAGTCAGACTTTCTGGAATCTTACCACTTGGGACCCCAGCATCCTAACAGACTGTGATTCAGTGACTTTGCATTTCCCCTCTCCCTCCCTTCCTATAAGTCACCTTCAACCTAAGTGCTCCTCACTGTCTTGTCCCCTCTCCGGCAGAGTGTTTGTGGTGGTCCTGGTCGTCATCAGCGTCCTCTGGGTCCCCATCATCCAATCCGCCAACAGCGGGCAGCTCTTTGACTACATCCAGTCTATCACCAGCTACCTGGCCCCGCCCATCACTGCCCTCTTCCTACTGGCCATTTTCTGCAAGAGAGTCACAGAACCTGTGAGTGCAGCATCACGCTCATCTCTCCCAGTACAACCTAGGGTTGGGGGGGCCTAGTGTGTCAATAACATGGTCTGCATGGCCTTAAGCAAACCGCCTGCCGCCTCTAAGCTTCCATCTCCCCAAACTTAGCATCTGTGCCAGAGGATTCACTTACTCAACAAACATTAAACATTGATCACACCTATTCTGGATATTTGGGGGATGCAATGGTTTACAATGGCCAAGCACTTGACTAATAATCAAAAGGTTGGTAGTTCAAACCCTCTTAGAAGCTCTGGCAGAAAAGACCTGACAATCTGTTCTTATAAAGGTTACAGCCAAAGAAACCCTATGGAGCAGTTCTACTCTGTCGGATGTGGTCCCTGTGAGTCGAAAATCAAGCTGCCAACATCAAACAGAAACTCCAACCTTGTAGATATCCGTGGTGCACAGCAGGACCCAGCTGGATTCTAGATGTTTCTGCTTATTTCAGAATTTTTGGAATTAGTTTCAGCATCTCAATTTTTAAAATAGAAGTCATCTGAGTCCTATATACTAGCAACAGGTATACATTAGGGACAAAGGGACTATAAAGAAGAAATATGAGGGAGGTATCAGGGTTTGGACAGACAGATTGGCAAAGAGGCTGATGGACTAGCTTGGAAGATAGACAAATGGGTGGACAGACGGAGGAAAACAGGTAGGCAAATGGTAGTAAAAACGTGCTGAGAAACAACAAAAGGGAGATCTCTGTTCTAATAACTCGAAACTTTGGACGGAGGATTGTGGGGTTATCTGCTTATTACAAAATCTGTTTTCATTCTAGCTGAATATTAAATATTCGTCGCTATGTCTCTATTGACTTCTCTTGTCTTTGCCAAGTGAGACAATGAGTCAATGAGGCTGAACAACTGACTCAGAGGTATTATGAAATGGAGGCAGGATTCAAATCCTAGTCTGTCTGACGCTAGAGCCTTTGCAGTATATGACCCTGCCTGCCTTTAAGTCCACAGGAAGCCTGGTCCTTCCGTGGAGCTCCCTTCGACAGGCGCGTGCTGTGCTAAGCCCATGGGAGAGTTCTTTGCGGGCAGCGTGGCTTCCTAAGGTGGCCGGCTGGTGTTCACCCTGCCTTCTCTCCGTAGGGAGCTTTCTGGGGCCTGATGTTCGGCCTGGCCGTGGGGCTCCTGCGCATGATCCTGGAGTTCTCCTACCCAGCTCCAGCTTGCGGAGAGGTGGACAAGAGGCCGGCTGTGCTCAAGGACTTCCACTACCTCTACTTTGCACTCCTCCTGTGTGGGCTCACTGCCATCGTCATCGTCACCATCAGCCTCTGTACCACCCCCATGTCGGAGGAAAAGGCAAGTGGCAAGTTCACACGGAAGCTCCCCGGAAATCCCGGCGGTTCCTTCCCAGTGGCCGCAATGGCACTGCAGATTTCCATGCATTGACTTGTTCTCCGCGTTGCTGTACAAATGTCTGGGGGTGAGGGGTCGGGGAGCCTCACGGGACTATTCATCCCTAACGAACAGCGATTCAGTCCGTTCAAATCACTCGGTGAACACCTACGAGGTACCCGGCACTGGGCTCAAGTGGGAAAGACGAGTGGTCCCTGCCACAGGCAGAGTCGGATGAAAGCACTCGTGTCGGCTATACCGAGACGAAAAGCGCAGAAGAACCAGGCTCACAGGCGGGACAAGCGCAGAGACATGTCCTCACCCGAGGGCAGAGTCGGGGAAGGCTTGACCACCACGGTCCCTGTCTGTTGAACCTTGAGGGATGAGTGGGGATTTGTTGAGTGTTGAAAAAGCAAGTATATGAAAGAAAGTCTACCAGCTTTAGGACTCACTACAAAACCCTCCCCACTCCCTCCTGACGGATATCCCAGTTGTTGGATCTTGGCACCCACACTTTTAAAAACAGTTGTTAACGGCATACAACTCACATATCATGCAACTTAGCAGTTCAGTCACATGAAGAATGGTACAACTATCACTGCGATCAGGCCTCGAACATTTTCTTCATCCCTGTACTCATGCCTCTTAGCTCCCCATATCCACCCCTCCCCCCAAAACCGTTCATCTGATTAGTGTCTCTGTAGATTTACCTGTCCTGGGTTTCATTTACAGAAGAAGAAAAAAATTGAACTAGCAACAATAACAAAGTAAAACAGATACAAACCTCAATTTTAAATAAAACAGAAAACATTACAAACTAAAACAAATTTAAATGGATCATAAGGAAGATCAAATGATAGGGGGCTAACTTTTAACTTAACTGCATCTGCAACAATCCACTTCCCAATGCCTTCTGCGTGATAACAAGGCCATTCCCACCACTGGTTCATGGTCAGAGTGACACCCACACTTTTGAGCAAAAAATTCGCCCCTAAAACACTAGGTGGAAATAGTTAATAATCCCCCTTACCTGTATGAAACCTCACAATTTGTAAAATGACTTTTTGTTCTTTGTGGCATTGCTATGACCAAGTAGAGCAAACCTACCCAATTCCCAGCAAGCCGAGAGAGGCTGACTTCTCCGGAGATTCCCTCCATCCATGGGCTCTCCTAGGTGCAGAAGCTCCAGGTCTCCCTGGTCTGCTTTGTCATTCCCCATGCTCACGTCTTTCCCAATTTAAAACTCTCTCCCTGAATCTGCCACCCTCTCCCCTCATCACAGGAGCAAGGCTTTGGAAGGAATGGTCTGCAGTCTTACTTCCACATCCCAGCTCTTTCTTACTTCCAATCTACGGCGGCCAGCTTGCCTGTTTTCCCCTCCAGCCCACTGAAATTGCTCTCATCGAGATCACAGACAACTGCTTGTTGATACGACTAGTGGTGACCTCTCTTTATCAGAAATGCTTTTTGAGAAGTCGGCATTACGGACAGCTTCAGGCTTCCTGAAGACCCCTCCCCGATTCTCTGACATGATTTATGTCCCTCCCCAACCCCCCTTCCTTTCTTAGCATGCTTCTCACTTCTCTAGGGACATTTCTCTCTGCCTCTTAGATATTATAGCTCCTTAGAAACCCATCTACGGTTTATAACTCTTCTCACGTGACACTGTCCCTAGGCTACCTTACCTCCTTCCATGAGGGCAGCAACCCTCTGTCAAAGGATGCTACTCATTTCTCTATCTCTAGCCAAGATCCCTCTCTCAATATGTAAACTTTAAATATAAATGCCGCCTGGTGATATAAAGAGATACATCCCATATGCTACCAGTGACACACAATGTAAATACAAAGTTAGGTTTTTACAGAAATACTTATAAGCAAAGAAGCAGCTTGAGTTCTGATGACCGAGTAGAGACGCATGTCTATGTCAGACACGCTGGACCCACAGTGGAAAGGGCTCCGGAGGGGCTGCAGGGCATCCTTTTCAGAAGTTGGGAAGAGGCCAGGGGAGATTCTGGTTCAAATATGTAATACGAGGAGCTGCTTGGCCAGGAAAGCAGCCTTGTTGGAAAAGGGTACGATGGTTGACTCCAGTACCGTGGATGTCAGCCAGAGAACATGCTGTTTTCTTCTCTGCTGAGCCACCAACAAACGAGGAAAGAGAAAATCGCTGTCACAAACAGTACAAGTTTTATTTCTCCTCACCTGCACATTGCCACTTGGAAGTCCTATAGACTCTCTGCACTCATCATCACAGTCTTGTGTGTGTGTGTGTGTGTGTGTGTGTGTGTGCGGGTGCGCGCGCGCACGCGCGCGCATGTGTGCATGATCACATATGCACATGCACACATTCATGCACATGCACACATTCATGCACAGTCCTCCTCTTTCTATCTTATCCCATTCAGACCATAACCTAGTCCTTGCCTTGTGTCATCTAATCTTATGAGCAGGGCCACTGGTCCGCCCTGTTGTCCAAAGCAGAAACCTGACGGTGGTTCCTCCCACCCCTAGCGCATCCAGTCCCCATGTCCTGTAAATGTGACCTCCTTCGATTCGGAATAAATATCAATGTGTTTGTTTGTTTGTCTGTGATAACATTCTTTAACAGGAGCCTGGGAGAGCAGTGGTTGAATATCAAGCTGCTTACTTAAATCTTGGTGCTTCAAACTCCCCAGCCACTCTGCTTCCGTAAAGGTTGGAAACCTCAGAGGTTCTACTCTATCCGATAGGAGAGCCATGACTGGAAATGAACTCAACAAGAATGGGTTTAGCTTGGGTTTAACTTTCTTTAAACTCCAGCTTCTCCCTGGAAGCCGGCAGTATTTTCGGCTTCACATGTGCAACATCCATGTAATTCACGTGGGGGCTTCTTCCTCAATCCTTGAGTCTGTGGTCCCTTCTCTTTGCCTACAGTCTGCAGTCTCAATGGGCTGCAGGCTGGAGAAACAATAAAAGTATCCAATTCTCACTCTAGCCTTCGAAACCCCTTACTCTTGGGTTTCTGCCTGTCTGTTCTGCCTTTCCTCTCCCACATCAGTCAGTCATAGCCCTGGCATCAGGGTCATGCCCGACTTGAGTCTGCATGCTCGGCAGAAGCCTGGTGTAGTGGGGGTGCTCAGTGAGAGCTGATTTTCTCCCAAAGACGCAGTGAGGTCTCCTCACCCCCAGCCATTGATCTATTGCTTATTGCTCTGCTGGCTTCCCATCAAGGAGACCCTCTTTCTCTACGCGGCTTCTATCCGAAGACAACTGACTCACAGCTGTTGTCTTTCCTTCCAGCTGGCTCGCCTGACCTGGTGGACGCGAAACCACCCCCCTTCAGAGCTGGTGAAAGAGACCCATGAGAGCACACGAGAGATGCCCTCTGGGGTGGGCCCTGCAGACAGTGAAGTGCTGGCGAACTCTAGCCATGACCAGGAGCAGCCTGCAGGTAGGCGAGGGCATGCTGGGAGCTGTGACCGTCAATCCCCAGGGAGTGATGAAGACAGCCCCTGTGTCCTAGGCCCCTCTCACATGACTCCTCGACTCGGAGAGAACTGAGGCAGATGAATATGGCAGATGAGCATCAACGTATTTCCCACCTTAATGATAACCAAACTCATTCCCAGTGAATCGATTCCAACTCATAGAGATCCTATAGGACAGAGTAAAACTGCCCCGATGGGTCTCCAAGACCGTTAACTCTTTATAGGAGTAGAAAGCCTCACCGTTCTCCTGGTAGTTTCAAACTGCTGACCTTGTGGTGGGTAGCCCAATGGGTATCTGCTATGCCATCAGGGCTCCTATTCTAAGTAAACTGTAGCTGAAAGATTTTTTTTCTTATCCATGGGGAGATGGGCTTCCTAATACTGAACCCAAGCCTTAGACAGAGGTATCACCCAGTCACCAGCAGATCTGCACAAAAAATTTCCCCTATGTTAGCAAGCATTACACTTCGGAGGAAGAGAAAGAGGAGAAGGAGGAGGGAGGAACCAGCTAAGCATGCCTCATTTAACTTACTCAAATCTGCCAACTGGGAAGTCCCTTTACCTCCCTTAGGTTGCATGCGTGTAAGGGCAAGAAAGAGCAAAGAGTCGTAAAATAACTGAGGTCATTCCACATGGAGGTAGCATCAGACCTGCAAAAACAAAACACCTCCTCTAATAACTCCTCCCACTGGCGCTTTATGTTATGTACTATTAGGTTTAACAAGTCTGCCCCTCGTTACACAGAGGCATGACTCTTCCTAAGAAAGCAGACTGTTCTGTCACCCTCCTGAGAGAGGGTCCTGTAAAGCCACCACCATTTTCCTCCTTGAGTTGCTGTATCTTGTCTCCATGCAGATTTGGGCTCCTGGATGCTCTTAAGTGGGTCAGAATAGACATTAATTGTACTTGCTCAAAGGTCACTGAGCACCTAAGGTTAAAGTTATTATATGACATAATGGTTTTAGACATAACACAGCTGGAACCTTCCTGCAGTGATAGAAGTAGCAATATTAAGCTCTTTTCATTGTATACAATAATAGCATTAAGGAAATTTCCTGAATTATTAAATTCCCAAGGAAAATTAAGGTTCAAAAGAGTTAAACCAGTTTGTAAGTCAAAGCCTAAAATATTTATTTAGCCATTGTGAGTTAAAAAGTCAATGACATTTAAATCCTAAATGTATTTCTTTCTTCAGTGGGACAGGATAAAATCCAGGTGTCTTTGGCAGCTACTCTCTCCCCTTGGATTAGGCAGTAGTTTCCACCCTCTACCCTCAAACTGTTGTAATAGAGTCAATTCCAACTAATAGGCATGAAGATTATGTAGGATTTCCAAGTCTGGAAAATTTTACAGGAGCAGACAGCTTCATCTTTCTCTAGGATTTGGCTGGTGGGTTTGAACCTCTGACCTACAATTAACAACCCAACACCTAGCCCCTAGTGCCATAGTTCCCTCAGAGCCTCAAAAAGTGTCTTCTCTCTATCTCCAGGCCCCTGGTGCACCAACAATTTAGTAGCCCCACTAAATTATAAGATTGTCAAATCTTCATACCTACTAAACTATAAAATAAG